ATATATATGAGAGTGAAGGCCTCAAGTCCAAATTAACTATTTTTCGGAAGCCCTGCCCGCTGGGGGCGGGGCTTCTGAAAAATAGTAGATTTGGACTTGAGGCGCTATCATAATAAGCAGATCCATATTAACATTTTTGGGGGCAGATCCAAATTAACAATTTCGCGGGGGCGGAGTTTGCGCAAAATTGTTAATTTGGATCTGCTTATCATGATTTTGCGTCAAATTTCATCAAACAATATATTGGCAAACGAGATCGTCGATTGGTATGTTATCAAATGCCTACATCGACGGATGCAGATGAATGATCGAAGTGTAGGTAAATCCAAACTTAATGTTCAGTGCAGTACAGGTATTCCACCATGGTAAGAAGTAAACAAAAAAGTAATTTCATGGCTCTTTCTTGATTTTTTTGGATTGTCCCGATTAATGTGTGGATAAACGAATGTGAATGGTTACCAAATGCAGTTTGCTAGAAATGTGTGCTTTCAATAGACGGCTTATGACGCTCATGGTTGAGTTGGGAGAACGGTACGCTCCGTTTTTTCGAAAGAGGGTGGTTACTGTGCTGCTAAGACTGTTATGCTTCCGGTTATCTTTACTAGGTAAAATCATTTATCAAAACCATGAGACGCGCACGGTATCGTGCGCAGGCCAATTGGTCCTTTCATAGTTCATTCGATTCATGATTATCCTAAGTTAGATTATCTTGGTGATAGGTAATCAATTATAGCGACAATTCAGTCGCATCGTTCAAATAAAGAGTCCTTTACGGCGTACATCTATTGATTGAAGAGAAGCCATAGAGTATGAAAGAATAAAATAATGGAAAGAGAAAAAATTTACTAGCTCTACAAGCCACCCTAACAAGGGGAGATGCTAAAGTCGATGTGACCATTTGAAGTTAGACTTGCACTGCTACCCGTACTTCGAGTGCTCATTTCGAACCTACGTTCCAAGCTGCCAAAAGTTTATCTGAACGTAGGCAAGAAGGTGATTCCAGGTGAGTACTCGACATAAACAAACACCTACACAAGGACGAAACTGTGGTGATGACTTGGAGCGGTTTTAAGCGTGATGCTTGATATGCATGAGACCATGTGTAGGGTTTTGCAGCAGGCGCGATTTTCGAATTTCGCGCGGCTTTCTTTGAAAACTTTTGTATGCTGATTTTACCGCCCTCAGCGGCACTATGACGCCTTCGACGATTCGGCTCCTGCCTGTCTAAACATCCAATATGGCCACATCTTTTCGCTCTTCTCGAACTTTTTTATATTCACAGTAGGATAGCATTCATAATTTTATGAGCAGATGTGATGGTCTGGCACAAAATATTTGAAAAAAATGTTTAATGGGGAAATGGGTAACAAGGAATTTCGTTAGAGGACGCACTTCACAATCAAGCACCTAAACGAGAACAGACTGCATGGATACCCCAATACCGCCTGGACGAGAACTTGGGAAACCAGTAACATGTTAGAGCATGAGAGAAACCTCTTCAATTTACGAGCACGGAATTGAAGTAGATCAGTAATAGCGAGCGGAAAATTGAGTGGAGAGCGTGCACGGGACGTTCAAAGACTTGAGTTGCTCTTGCAAAGGTAAGGCAGACTTGATAACTCTATGGCCCTTGATGAATGCCTAAGAGTCAACACCAGCATCAGATGTTGGTGGGTGCCACTCTTTCTTAATATGCTGACTCATAACGTGCGTTTCACTCGCACGTAAATCCAAATCCCATGCAAGGAAGCACTTCGGAATCTTGCCAGTAGTCTTTTATTGAAGCTATGTTTAGAGAATCAGGCTAATGCAAAATATTTGTGCTAAAGGCCTGAACCAATAGGGACTGCCTCTGATCCAGGTGTCTATCGGCGAAAATACAAGACATAACTGTGAAAGAGTGGATGCAAGCAGGGAGCGACTGCACGACCCCGTACTCTCTTCGAGTTTTTCGAGGCTGAGAATTGCATTCTGTGCGTTCCCTTCATAGATTCCATAGTGAAATCAAGGTGTGCGGAAAAGTAAAGAGATTGTGGCGATATTGTATGTACAGCCGACGATATTATACCTCAACATCAGAAAAGCATTAAAGGTACTGTTCACGATAATTTTGGGTAATTCAGATTATGACGAAAAACGGAAGATAAGACGGAATATAGTGCGATGACCGCGAAGGAACTGCGTGAATCGGTGTTTTCAAAGTGAAAAAAGGCTTCGAAAAATCGGTAAAAAAGGGGCTGAACAGAAGAATGAAGAAGACTGAGGCGTTTGGACGAGCTGTACAATGTGGGTCATTGCGTACGTGTGGGTCCTGGTGCGAATAACTGACTACTTTAAGCAAAAATTCATCTACTTATAAGCATAAGTAAAAAAGCCCAGCAACAGCGAAAACAGCTCACCTTTTTCAGCCTGTTGGCGTAGGAAAGGGATCGCGGCAGCAAAAAGAATAACAGAGGAAAAAAGAATGGGAAAAAATACGCCTCATCACTCGGCGATCAGCTGATTGTGTGTGGTCCTCGAACGAGTAATTGCAATCTGCATCGCCTCGACACTCGTCTGACGTGAGATCACTGGAGGGGCAGGAAGGCCGCGCGAGCCAGCGACAGGGCTTCCACTATGCAGTAACAGTCGAGTTTTTGGGAGCGAAGGGCATTTCTATTACCTTTTAGGGCCACTGAGTATTCCTAGGGGAAGAAGTCAGAAACCATTTGTTATCGTAAACCGTGCCTTCAAAATAACACATAAAGTTTTCCCGCTTTTGAGAAAAAAAGCCCTGCAAAAAGCAAGAAATCCCGTTCCGAACCCATGATCTGACGCATATGAAGCGTCGCGCTTACCTGCTCCAGTTCACCGTGGTCGGCGCAGTTACGTTCATGCCTTATGTGTTTGCTCATGTCAAACACTCTTCTGAAACTACCCTCATATCTTTGTTCAAAGGACGGTTTGGCAATTTTGAAACGCACATCCGAAATCAGCACCTGTCCATACGTCTAGCAATTTAAATACCAATTTGCATGGCCATCTCGACTTGGGATCCCTGCCTTGTAACAAGTCAGTTGAATTGATATTGACTAATTGATAGGAGTCCTGACGATACCCATGCGATATGCGCGACAAGCAGCAGCCTCGATTCTCGCAGTAATACCTTGGGCAGTTTGAATTTGTGTATGCTGAAGCAGAACCGTCTGGGACTGAGAAAGTGGCTGTTGCATGAGCTGTTGCAACACGTTTTGTTGCTGTTGTTGCTGAAGTACTTGTTGGTAGTACAGAGCGATGGCCGGATTCATGATAGGATTTACATCACAGTGATTTTGTGCAGCCTAAAAGAATAGTATTAAATGCAAAAACCGAATAACGATACCTAAGGTACCTGCAACTGTGGCAGCAGTTGACTTAACACAAAGTGATCTTGTAAAATCGAAAGCAGGTGCATTCCTTGAGATTCATCACCAGCTGATGATCCGCTACCAGCTAACGGATTCACCATAGCAAGCGAGCTCGCTCCGCCTAGCAACGTAGAGGCCAAGAGATGGCTTACCTAAATATGACCAAAATGCATTTGTTTATCACCTTTGAGCACAACTTTTGAAAAATGGCTAACCAGTTGTGACGGTGATGAGTGGCTTGTTCCCGCCACGTCTGGTTGTTGTTGCAGTCTCAGTAACGAATCCTTAACAACTAACAATTATTATCATTATTATTATTATTATTATTATTATTGTTATTATTATTATTATTATTATTGCTATTAATTATTATTATTATTATTATTACAATTCTTATTATTACTATTAATTATTATTTTTATTACAATTTATTATTATTATTATTATTATTATTACAATAAATTATAATTTTAATTATCATCATTATTATTGCTATTACTATTAATCATAATTATTATAATTATTATAATTATTATAGTTATTATAATTACAATACTTATTATAATTATTATAGTTATTATAATTATTGCAATTATAATTATTATTATAATTACTATAATAATAACTATTATTATAATTATTATTATTATAATTATTAAAACAATTATTATAGTTTTTATTATAATCATTATTGTTATAGTCATTATAACTATGATAATTATTGTTATAAGTATTATAATTATTATTATAATAACAATTATTATTATAATTATTATTATAATTATTATTATAATTACTACAATTACTACCATTATTATAATTATTATAATTATCCTACTATATATAACGCGCTAAGTGTGTCTGTTGGTTTGTCT